AAAACGTGAAACAAAGATGTTGCCCTACAGGCCGCTGCCTGATCATTTTCCTATGGTACTCATAAACAAGTGATATTTTACACTTTTATGAATTCTTATACCATTATTCTTTCATGGCAAGCACTCAAAATTAATTGTACCAAAACAGTTACTGCATTAATGAAAAGGGTTTGTTTTTTTTTTTTTAACTTGCAACGCATTGTGTTCTATTTCAAGCCCAGTTTTCCATCTATAACTTAGGCCTAGTTGTAGCAGAATAAAATTCCAGCTTTTATGACAGAAGACTTTTTTTTTGATCAATAGAAGTCAGCAGCAAAAGCATTTGCGGTTTTTCTCTGGAAAGCATTTGTGGCCACAGACTCAAAGGAGGAAGAAAGGGAGGGGGATTAACTCTTCAATGAAGGTCAAAAACATAATTTAAAAGTGAACCAAGAAGAGCAGCTGTGTCTGTCAGCGCAATCAAGATTACCAGCTGGAGAATTTACCAGCAGTATGAAAACAACGCACACCAGATGTCAAATGTTGCAACTGTGAGTAGGAAAACATCTCTGGGCATGGCACTGTCATGGTAGTACTCATTACCAGACAGATTTCATATTTAGCATTTATTTATTAATTAGACAGACACTACCAGGAAGAAACATTTCTTTTGTAATTTCTATTCTTTCTAATATTTCCTTAGAAAAACAGTTTTGACCTTGCAGTATAAGCCAGAGGCAGGTGTGTACACTGTGATAATTTAAAATTGCACATTCTAATTGTCCTTTTTTCACTGTGAACACAATATAATGAGTGTTAAACTAACTAGCAAATACTAAAACATCTGCAGCTGAGCTTTAGCTTCACTCAGTTCAGTCTGAGCTTTTAGTTTGAGTTTAGATTCTTCTCTAATAAATCACAAATAAATATTAAGAAAACCAGTAAAAACACCCCCTATTCCATGGATAATCCACTGTAAAGAACCCAATATAAGCCATGAAAGCGAGTACTTCAATAACGCCTCTGCCAGCACTTCCTTCACCAGCTGCTTTTTATCTTCCTCCTCCTTCTGGGGCATTCTTGTCTTTTTTTCTGTACATTTTACACCTTGAGGATGAATTCATCCATTCCCACTGTTTCAACCAGGATGTTACACCACTCCCGGTGTTTAAAATACCTGATGTCAATTTCCTCCTTTTGTATATTCTTTTATTATCTCATTCACCTCCTCTTTTGTATTTATCTTTCAAATTAAATACAGGGGGAAGTAAAGAAAGAAAAAAAAAAAAAAGGAAGACAGACAAACAGACTTGGGTTTTTTACTCCTCTCCCCGTCCATTGTTGATGACTAAACTTTCTTCCTCAGCAAACCCACAAGCAGCCATTCCTGCAGAGTGCCAACAAACCCAGGCCCTCCGATTCTTTCCTTTTACAGGCTTTAAAATTCATCCTTCATTAAATTCTACTATCAAAATGCTAGATGTCTTTCTTGCTACTATCTGCTGGTATAAACTTCCTGGCTGTTATCTCCTCCTCTAATACATGCAGATATTGCAGTAAACACTCCCATCTCCCCCATTAAGTTAACTGTATCAGGGAGCTGCCTTCTTATTCTAGCTCGTTCCCCCACTTTTGTCATTTCCTTTAACAAGTTCTGGTTGTTCACTCTTAGTCTTGAACACTGATGGCTGTACATTTATAAATGTCTACAGAAATTATGATTTTGTCCCTGCTTGCAGCGTCTCCTGTGTTCATTCTCATTATCCTAACATCTCTCCTAAATGCTCTAGTTACTACATTGCAAAACCTGCCTTTTTCTCCTTTCAATGCTATATTCCTATGAGTAGGTGGCTCTCATCCTCTGGGTTAATCCCTACTATTTCATGCTAAAGATTTTTACAGTTTCCACTGCTAAACTCAGTTTTAACATATTATTTCTCTCATTCCAGAAAACAAATTATAATTAGACCCTAAGAAACTAAAGAATCATGGATGTTAATATCCAAAATGTTTACCACAGAGGCTATTCTAGAAAATAACTTGAAGTTTGCTTTATATCCTCTCCTTTCTTCCTTGGTGCAAATGCTTTACCTGAAGGAAGACATGCCCGTAACAAAATACCATACCACCCTAAATAGATAGTATAACTGAATCAAGCTGAAGTTATTCAAATACAATTACTGTCAGCAAAGGAAATGGAGGTGAGTTTGTGGCACCTTGTCCTGACATAATACATACGTTAGTGTAGGTTTGTTAACTGCTGCAATTAAAAAAAGGAATTAGAAATGCCCAATGAATAGATACATTTAACTGCTCATGCACCCATTACTTTTTCCCTTCTCTTAAAGACAGAAATTTACTGTATATTTCATTATGATATTTTTATATTCTCCTTGGCTTCTGCACTCATTCTACTGTATTACAACCTATTCTTCACAGCTTACCTTAGCTTTGCCATCCTGTGCAGACATATATCCTACACACATGCTCTCTGTTGTATGGCTCCACAGAAATTCCACTATAAAGGAAAATGCAAGAAGTCATAAAAAATGCATTGGTTTAAAATGTAAGGTGTAATTTAACAAGACTGCAATCTCGAGAAACAAACATAGCTTAAAATAGACTTTGGGAAAGGACAAAAACCAAACTTAAAGAACAAAAACTACTTACCAGCATAAGTCAATCTCAAAAAAAACAGCTATCAAACAAACAAGGTTTTCCTGCACTATTTGCAGTCACACACTGCAGAACTAATACCCAGAATGAGAACATTACTTCAGTGATATGGAGCCTCTAAGACGAGACATATATCAACTGGAACTACAGTTAAAAAGATAGAATCAACTTTTAAAGCAGAGTCCTGTTCCACCCATAAAGTAGAAGCAGATGTAATTTGCATTTACTTGCCTTGAACCCAGACATAAGCACACTACAAGAGCATAAGCGTGGATGGCATACAAGGATTCTGTCAAATTGTAACACTAATCAACAAAATGACCGGTAACAAGCCTTTTCTCACAGAGCTGAGCATCAATATATACATAATCTGTAACTACCAATGGGTAAATGGAGACTTGTCATCTAGCTGCACAAGTAGCATTCAGGAAAACATGCAGGAGTAGTGAAGCCTACAAGATGGGAACTGAAGATATAAAGCAGGCAGGAAAGACATCTGGTGAAAACAAAATAATCCCGCAGAAAAAGCAGGAAAGATGTCCCATCTAAGCAGAATAACACTGCACAATAAGCAAGAAAAACGCCTGGAAAAATTAGAGCAAGACCTGGTCCCAAAAGTATGCTGAATTACATGAAGAGCCCATGCAATCACCCTCTTTCTTTGAGGAGACGATAAGGAGCAGCAAAGGTAAGAGAGGAAAGAAAGGTGGAGAAGAAATGAGCCCATTTTGATTTTAGCTTCCCCATCAAAGCCCTCTCAGGTCTGATCACCCTGACTTCTAGCACTAGCTATACAGGATCAGCTCTTCGGAACCATATACTCACAGCTAATTTAGGATATAAATGTTAGAGAACAACTGTTGTGTTTGTAGTGATAATGATTAAAAAAAACTAACCACTGTTAACATGTACTGTTAATGCATGTTAATCCAGTAAGGCATTCTTCTGAAGTCTGAAAGTGGCCCGGTTTATCAATTCTTTAAACAGCCCATTACAGTGATCTGTAATTCCCTGATACATACACAGGTATCTTTATATATACACATATACCTCTCCTCAGCTGCAATGCAAAATTCAGACAAAGAGCACTTTATTCATATGTTTAGCTCCCATCCAGTGGAGCTTTATAAATTGCCACACTGTATTCTTCCCGCTCTGTGTCACAGCCATTTTTCTTTGCGTTCATTAAGTACATAATTTGGAAGTGGGAAAAATTAAGAAAGAGTAGCTGATCAGAATTCAGGGTGTTTGACAGAACACTGTAAAAGGTTTAAAAAAATTGCATTGAAGTATAATTTTTTTCCTTTGGATTACAGGAAGACTCTTACATGGATTGCACAAGATGCCAAGAAAAGCTAATCCTTTAGAGAAAGACTTTCACATATTGCAAAAAGCATCATTAGATGGTTTTAAAACTCTTATTCATTCCTATTCCTCGTGTTCCTTTAATATGGTTGACGAAGGTCACAGCATGCTGAGTATGCTTATCCTTTGAACCATTTATCCTTGCATAGCACTTAACCCTGAGTAGAAGATCAAAGTTTAGACAATCCCAGCAGGACTTGAAGATTCCTCCAGATATGTAGACATCATCATAAAAGAAAAATGAACTTCATTTAGGTATGTACTTGGCTCCCCCGTAATAGATTTATGACTGATATCGCCAAAGGTTAAGTCAAAAGCTTTCAGACAGTGAAACATATTTAGTGCCATGTAACTGCCTTCGATGAAGCCAACTCCTCCCTAACACCCTAAAGGTTCAACTGTCAGTGAAAGCATTTATTTTTTGGAGACAAATTTAATCTTATCTTTCAATTTTGAGAAGCTGGGCAACGGTTGAGGCCAAATACCCTCAAAATATTATCTTTGCTTTTTATAACTCTAGGTATATTCTTTTAAGTTTTTAATTTTTTTTTTCCTTCTACCTTGTCCACCAAAGGTAGCATGTACTAACATAAAACATAATTATTGGTAGCTGTTAGAAGTACTGGAATTACAATGAAAAACCTAAATTATATACTTATCTAAAGACATCTCATGCATTTTCAAGCATTTAATAAATCACTTACTTGCAATTTGTTTCAATAGTTTTTTAAAAAATAAGATCATCACTGCAATACAGACATATGATTTCATTATTTTATACACCGAGTTCTTCACTGTTACACAACTTATCTCCAAACCGAACAACACAAATACTACATGTGTTTAATTATACATTAACTCAGCATACACTATAAGGCAGGAGATCTCTGTGGTACAGAAAAAATATCTTTAGAATAAGCTGTGTGACATGAATCTCATTTCAGTGGAAAGAAAACCAAAAATCAATGGACAAATAGTCTTTACGTATGATGTACAATATATGGGTGTTTTCTTTATTAATTTTTGACGGGAAAATACCAGATCTTCCTTAATAGGAATGTGTTTTTCTTACATGAACGACAAACATTAAATAAATAGAAATACTTCTCTCACTTCCAAACATAAGAAACTGAAGGTTAGTTTGTTCTTACTTAATCAAACTTGTATTTTCATTTTCTTAACTCCTTTCTAGGGATAGAATTTATGTTGTAGGATGCTTTTCCACTGGATCAATAATGTCACAATTACTTCTTTCTTAAATCTGAAAACTGTAAATCAAACTTAGAACATTTTCTGTATGTTTAGTAACCCATGCTCTGATTCTGGATTCGGGATTGGACAGTCTTGGCTTTCAAATAGTTGAAAGACAAGAGTAAGGTGATTGTCAAAGTCTATTTTATAGTCTGCTTCTTCAAAAAGATAAGCTATTCGAATAACTCCTCCAAAAAATATAACCTACAAAAGCTATTTCTAAAACCTTTTCCCATCCAAGACTTCCAAAATTCCTTTGTTGTCCATGAGGATAATCCCAGAACCATCATCAGAATTGTAAGGACCTCCCAAATCTCTGGTCCCTTGTCTTATGGATGAGGTGTTGACCAAAACCATAAAATACACATAAACTTCAACTGGTGGGCAGAGAAACATGAATGTTATTAACTTCATTGATGAAAATTACTTATTAGAGTGAATGACTGGAGGGGGTTATGATCAGACTCAAGTCGACCAACACAAAGTAGTACATGACATTTAAAGATTCTTGTAATGCAAACCAGTAAGGTGTAGTACGAGAACAAAACTGAAAGACAATATACACCTCATCATGTACAACTGCGATAACATCCTGGAATATGCATCCTGGAAGTCACTGAACAGACAGCAATAAATGCTGGAGTTTGTGTGCGTAACCCACCATTAAGAATATATGTGCTGGCTCACCTTTAGCACATGCTCTGCCTGCTACTCCTGGCTGTCTGTACGCAGGCAAACTCTGGTGACACAATATTAGGATTTAGTGGGACAAAAGTAGTAATGAATTAAAACAAAGGTGAGGTGTCTTTCTAAACAATAGCCTACAGATTAAAAGAAATTATGCAAGTCAAGAATGACCAGGTGAGATGCTATGACCTGCCTTAATACACAAAGTTAAATTCGGTGATCAAATTTGTCATGTCAGATCTTTGAAAGCTACTTCAAATCTGTAGTGCTACTGACAGCATTTCATTAAACACTTGGTGAAACAATAATAAAGCAGAGGATTATATAAAGGAAAAAAAAAACTTTAATTCTGGTCACATAACATAAATACGTATTAGACAGGTCCATGTGACTCAATACGTTAGCACATAGCATGACCACACAGACACATATGCCCACATCTGAGGAGCACCACAGGAAAGGAGATGGTACAAGTCATGCTGAAGTAATTCATATGCCCCCAGTCCCAAATCCCTGCCTTCAGAGAGGAACATGGGCTTTACTGTCTCTGTTTTTTCCACCCACTCCTCCTAGTAGCCTACAGCCTTCAGTTTCCTAGCTGTTTCTCTACAACAAACCGCGTGACAGTTTACTGTAATACACTTGCTCTGCTGTAAAGCAGTGAGACAGATGAGGGATCTTGTTTCTAGGACATAAAGAGGGTTGAGGGGCTGTAAAGCTCAGAGCCTTTTTAAGCAGTCAGCTACTGATGGAGGCTGACCTCAGTATAAACAGTAAGTACTCCTGCTGTCTGCATAAGCAAATAGTAACTGCGATTTATCTGAATATTTTCCTGGGCCTACACAAAAAATTTCTAACTATAGAACAAATTCCCTCCAAGTTTTAAGTGTATCCTCCAAATTTTCACATTTTGTCTTGCAAAAAGGAGGAACAAAGAACTTTATAGACAGCATTTTTACCATATAAACCACTGAGAAGCAGTAAACAGTCATATGCATTATCCCTAGCTAAAAATGTGATTTTTTTCCTATGAGGAACATACCCTGCCTCACCACAAGCAACTGTTATTTCTATGCCATGGTTTTAGAAGGATCCCACAGAACCCTCTGAATCACAATTCTGCTTAGAAATAACGAGTCAGAAAGAATGCCCTTTTCTGCAGTTTTAGAGAACAAACAAGGCTACTACTATTTAACTGTCTAGAGATCTATCATCTCAAACAATTTCAATTCCTTTTTGTTTTCTCTCTGGCTTTCAAATAACAGTAAACATGCACAGTTTTTATTTTATCTTTCACTTTGAGTTAGCACCTAGCTCAAGTAAAAATGAATAAGAATTTCTTACCTAGTAAAGTTGGCTTTTCCTGTGATGACTCAGGCTCTGCTGAACACCTGCAAGACCGAAGAACTATCACACCTCCGAGTACACCATCTTCATTGGCTAGAAATGGTGAACCTGAGTAAAATTGTTGGGGAGAATTACTTGCAATAGGAAGAGTTTCTTGGGTTTTTTTTTTAATTTCACTTTCCTGCCTTCCCCTTGAATCTTGCCACTAAGCATTGAAAAGACTGTCAGGTCAACCAGTGCTTTTACAGAAGCGTTTTTATTTTTTTCTAGCGTTTCTATTGAGTAACTACCTAAATAGTAATCTACTAACCTACCAGTAATCAAAAAAAAAGAAAAAAAGCTACACGGAATGAAAAAAATACTGGAAATTACATTTGTGAGTGCAAAACCATTTGTTCTTGAATCAAGGAAGATATAATAATGAAAAATAGAGTGTCAAGTTGAAAAAAATCTTGATATTTAGCTCTTTCTGTACTATAATTAATATAAAGATGGCCACATATGAAAAAAATAAGCAAAATTTGTGTCACTTGTCCAATTTAAAGCACTTTGTATAGAGACATAATCAAATTGCTATAGACCATCTTCCTTGCTGTTTTATGAATAAGAGCAGAAAAGCCAAAACACATCCTACTTTTTAAAGTAGCTTTTCTGCTGGTAATTTAAAACATATGGTACAAAACATCTTCTATCAGAAGCTGGAAAAGTTTTAACATTAGCTGCATCAAGTTTAAGTATTCTTTTTCTGGTTTGTAATTTGAAATGGGATTCCTATAGTTTTATATGTGGAAACAATGGTATGATTTACATAGGATTTAAAATGTCTTGAGCCACAAAATTAATCAAGTCCTTACACTGAAGCCCAAACACACCCTAGTCACACATTTGCAATACACTGTGATTTAAAGTTGAGCATGCAATTGCAGCAGGCATTTCATATATTTCTTTTCAATTATTTCAAATAAATCAGTATACTATGTCTAGTATACAGACATTGTAAAAGGATTTGCTGGCCACAAGAACTTTAGACCAGATCTACTCAGCAGCCTCCTTCAATGTGCCCACAGCTATTTGTAAGATTAAAATTGCTCCTTTAATGCAAATAACAACCAAAACCCACCCCAAAAAGAACTAAGATCAAGCTTTACTGTAAGGAAAACTAAATGCTTTACCATGTTCTCTCCCAAAATAAGAGCAGCCACGTTCAAAAGTGATACAAGGTGGTCATTACAACAGAATCCCATGTTGCAGGAAGATGATATATGTGGTATGCTTAATAAATGGTAATATCTTATTCCACTCAATACAAACAGATATCATCTTTAAAGCGCCACTTGCTTTGTACAAGAACTATTATTAGGTACCAGTTATACCTACTATATTACTCATCAACTATGGCCAAATCCCTGTGAACCAAGAATCCAACCAATCATAACGTAATAGATAACAAAGCAGGAAAATATGTTTGGTTAAAATAGAAATGCAAGGCTTGGGAAGTTGTAAAAAGTTTTACCACCCAAAATCAAAATCTTTTACTCCATGCTTTCCAAGATTCTAAGTATATCTCTCATACTTCCACTGCATTAACCAAGTGGTGGCTAAGTATGTGATATGGTTTCTGCAAGCAAATGAACAAAAAAAAGTGGTTTTCTTTATAGGGAACATGCATCCTTTAATCTTTACTTCAGAAACTCAGGTACTTCAAAGACAATGTCTTAACCTAATCTTACACTCAGTCGTATAAATTCTTCAGGCTACATGCAATGCTGTTGTGAAAAGTCATTGCAAACAGAAAAAGTTTTGCTTATTCTTTTTTAAATAAGCCCTGTTTTGCCTCCTCTTTCCAGGCGTGTCAAAGGTTCTTTCAAGGTTCTAGTGAAAATACTAACAATCTCTTTAATTAGAATAGTTAAAGATGTTCAACTTCAGCAGAACACAGCCAGCAAACAATATTTAAAGCAGATAGCATATTTAAGGCCATACTAAAACATTACTAAAATACAGACTGTATTTTTAGGATAAGGAGATGCAGCATTTTCTTTCTCCCACGCTCAGGGAAGAGTAGGTGAAAGGAACGTCTGTAAATAAACCAATCACATATTTCTTCATTTTCCCAGTATTTTTGTCAACTATGTGCCATCATCACTGATCAAATTTTCAATAATCTGAATAACTTGCACGTGCTAGGCTCTCTCTTTCTAAACTTTAAGAGAAGACTTGGCAGTGCATAACTTTCCATGAAAAGAGTCTGCAGCAAAACACGTAATGCCACATTTTCATCCGAATTCTTTCATTTTTACAGGGATTTCTTTGCAAGAACAAAGCATTCATCATATTCACTGGAGTACAGAATGAGAAAAGTAATCACTCAAAGTCTGTGTTGTGTGAGACTTTTTTTTAAAAAGGGGTTTACAAAAAAATTTAAAACTTGAGCTTCAAGCACATAAGACAAACGCTTAAGTTTACAATTTCATCCAAAGAGATGCTCTACCTCTACATGCACAACTATGCTCATGAGAATCCCAGCTCTGCCAGCGTAAATAGGATTGATTTATTTACTTTCAACATGCTGTCCACCATATTACCCTAAATATGTACACAATTGCTTTCTGAACCAAGTTACTTCTTTCAGTGATTATGCACCATGGAAGCTTTATTACCAGTCCACAAAACTCAAAGGCTTTGAAGTCCCTCCTAAACACTCAAAAGCTAGAAAACTGACTGTATTAATTCAGCCTTTGCTGAAGTACATTGCCACTCATTTCAAATAGAAAACTCAAGAAGATGACTAATAACACTGCAAATGACAAAAGCATGATAAAAGCATGATAAAGTACAGTTTTAACTTCAGCACTCATGAAACACACCAGATAAGCCACAAGCTGGCTTCTTTAAGAGTAACACAAGTTGGGCCCCTGGATTAAGGACAAAGTTGATTACGCCAAACAAGACCAGTTAGTTACTGCACTAACTTTCTAAGAATCAACCATAACTGTAGTACTAGGGTGATACACAGACGAGTAAAATGGCTTAGAGTGACTTGTAGTGGGTAATTTGAATGGAGTAGTAAACCAGGGAACATCTTAAAAGTTTATTATGCAAGCAAAGCAAGGAAGACAAGGATGCGTTATCTCTCTCCTACAGATAGAAACACAGCGCTACTTGCCCAATGGTGCACAACATCAAAACCCAGAACCTACAGGCTGTTCTCATTTGCAGCACCTTGAGCAATATACTACAACGCAACAATGGAAACAATGGGATTATGTTGGCTTTCTTGTTGCAGCCAGCCATGTTTTGGAGTTGTAGCAACAGAGACTGAGCCAAAATACAGTGGCACTCAAGAAATTATTGAGATTCAGTATTTTCAGCTGAGCTACTGAAGATTTTTCTTATTTTTTTTTTTTAAAGCACGATCCACATCCAAATTTTAATCTTCTACACCATTTTACCATCAGCTGCAGACTGAACATTATTCTGGAAAGGGAAAAAAAAAGAAGTCTGAAACAAGAACATAGCCCTTCTCACCTCCAGACACAAACAGCAAGTGAAGACACAGCCACTTGCAAGACCCCTGCAATGGTTCATGATCTTTTCACCCACACCACTTCCACAGGTCATATATTTTCCTTCACTTCCACTGGAGGTTGCCATCCACAGAGCCATCTGAAGCAAATTGTGTGACTGCTCCCTCATCCATTCCAATTGCTTTCACCAGCAATTTCAGCTGAACCATCTCAGTGCAAAAATCAGCAACAATAAGGAATGTGTGTCTGTCTCACTGCTCCGGCTAAGTTGTGGGGAGTCAACCTCTAAATAGTGGCAGTAAAAAACAGTTGCCTACAGTAATAACATTACAGTATTCTACACTACAGTAAATTCAGAGAGACTGTTTCTTCTCCCTTAAAAATCAGACTCAAGCCAAATTAAATACACACTGAACAGCACATTCTTTAAAACAAAGAATGTATTTTATTTTCCAATTAAAGCAATTTTTAAAAAGTTAAAAGAGGGATTCAACTATATTAATATTTTTAAAAACATAAATATTTCTGGATATGCAGACTTATTACTGAGGATTACAATTACGCTAAAGAGTGTATCTTAACATAGCAATACAGTGCAAATGAGTAGGTCTATGTTAAGCAAGATTCTAGACAGCTGAACACTATGCATCCATTATTAAGTCTGCAAAAATAAGGGTACAAAACTACTATTATACTTCTAAACAGAAACCATGCACTGTACAAAGGAATTAATTTCAGTGTTCTCAAAACACTGTGAATTCAAAAGTTAGGAACATATTTCATTAATTTAGTTCTAAAAATTTTGTTACAGCCAAGCCCCTGAGAAAAAAAGAAGTAACAGTGCAGACTGCTGTAAAAAATAACCAAGTAAGTAATGGCATATTTTCATATACATTATATTTAATTAGTATTTAAGCAGAAAGAGAAAAGGTGCAACTGAAATAAGGCCATGTGTATTAAAATCATAATGGCTTCTCATTGGAAGGAAAAAGTAATCTGGCTCCTACACTCCTACATCATTTTTGCTCTCTCTGTACTCTTAAGAATGATAGATCTTGCTGTACAATTAAAAATTCAGTAAAAATAAAATATGCCTACTAGCTAAAAATAATTTTATTACTGCAATAAAGTAGAATTGCTAGACAAATCTTTGACCTAAATCTTTGACAGAACTACAAAAACCTGGGGCTTTTAATACCGTTTTAAGTCTCATGAAACTCATCGTTCCTTTCCAGTTATGCTGGCATAACACTGAAGAATTTGGCATGAAGAATCCAAAGCAAAACTTCAGCTACAGCATTAACTAATAATGTTAGCACTGACTGGCCACACCAGAGAAAAGGAGTAGAAAAACACAAACAAAAAATATCTTTCAATAGTTTTGGTTTAATCCTCACCTCCCCAGCCACAAAATTGTATTTTACAATACGCATTTCCCTCCCTGAAAACTCAATTATTCTGTTACTGCTATCTAACATACGGAGAGCGTTATCAAGTTTTTATTTATATAATTTGTACATCATTAATCTGTAGTAACAGTCTCTTAAAAATAAGCAAACTTATCTTAATAGCAGCTCCACATTCACTTATCTCATCAAGTTCTGCAAGAGCAACCACAACTGAACACCAAGACTTCGGTTCAGGCTCAGCCCAGGGACAGAGCATACAGATTTCACACATGTTAAGGCAAATAATGGCCTCAACATTCAGTCTTGCTCTGGAGGAACTACAGCTCCAAGTGAAGAACATTTTTTCTTCTACGTCTCTTGTAAATTAAACTACTCCCATGATGAAGACTGCTTCCTCCAGAGCATGCAATTGGTAAGACCTGTCCATTTCTGATCCTGTGCTTTTTTCCCATTTGTAGCTACTGGAGAGATCCATTCTAGCACAGATTCAATACTAAACTGTAAAAGAAGTGTTTTATTTACACTTACACAGCTGAAGGACTAACCAGCTGTTCATCAGATGTTTTACATTCATACTTTTCCATAGTAGAGAAACCATACCAGCTTCATTGTTTACATTAGCTTTCAAAGTCTTCAGAACTTTGGTCTAAAGACTGACTGTGGCATGGTGCAACCAATTAAGAGCTTTAGCATCCCCCGGTTTTAATGGAGAGTGGCTAAACAGTTCTAAACCTTCTCATGCTCTAGTGTCAGTGAAATTCAGGTCAATAATCCATAGCTCACCTATGCCATTTGATTTTGCCAACTTGTACGGAACATGTTTAAAGTGAAGCTGTTTGGCACTCTGCTTCTGCTACGTAACCCGCTAGACTTCAAGCTAACAATTTAAATAAACATTAGCGGAATATATAAGCACTAAATTAAGCCTGCTTTTAATTTCATGCACCATTGTTCGTTAAATGTTTAAGCACAAGCTGTCTGAAACCAGGGATCTTTATATTTTATGATAAGTAATTTAAAACATCTGTTCAGAGTTTTTAAAGAAGCTACAAGGAAAAGGATCTGTACTTTCAAACTTTACCCGTCAGCTTTTAAGAAATTAAATAACAAAGGATACCGCTGTCCAGTAAAATACCAATGCTTTCGGTAAGAAGCAGCACAGTCAGGATCTAGGCAAACCCTTGTGTACGATTACCATGTTGTGTTAGTTTTTCATCTGCTTTTATTGTAAGGTAACAAACAGGCCTGTTCCATTCTGTCTACCATCAAATGCAAAGTTGTGAAATCATAAACTTCCAGTGGATGAAGTAGGTCATATGAAACCTCAGGATCACTTCATTCTCTTCTCAGATCTTTTCCTCTGTGTCATGAGGAAGACATAATAATGCTTTCATAGCATCCTTCCTCTGCCATAAAACCACAAAGGATACTACAAAGCTTAGAGTGATACAGCGCCAAAATATAAAGTAGCAATAACACTGTGCAATGACAGACACTGGCAGTCTTGTAACTGTTTAAGTATGAGGCTTTTTTCCCCCCCAACAAGCATAACACATAATTGGGAAATTCATATTCTATGATTCCTAACCGTCCAAACTCCTGCTCCCAAGAGAGGTATTTGACACAAAATTTCAAAACGAGAGTGTTACACTTCTGCTATTACCTTTCTGCAGACACTGCTCATTTGTGAACTGAAGCGCAACTTTAAAAATACAAGACTAGAGAAACATATTTCCGCTAAGGGAAGAACAAATACCAGGTTCCAACTATGTCTTTCAGCTCATTATTTTCTAATACTTTATAAGAAGCTTTAAAGCACAATTCTTAGCATTGCCATTGTTACAAGTGCAGATTTCCCGCCAGTGAGATGACACAAACATTTACTCTTAAATCTACATTCCACAAAATTGGCCACACTTGAAAGGAATGATGAGTAACAAAATCCTCTGTTCTTCTGCTTGGAAGGTATTTGTGTTTACAGAACACCATTCTTCGACCATGTACCAAGCCTTTAGTGCTCTTGGACTAATCAAGCCCATTTGATTTACAAAAAAATAATTAAAATCTAAATTTAATTTCTCTCACCTCCGATTCAACCATCAATTGTGCATTATCCATAGTAAGCTGGCTCTGAGAAAGGATGAGAGGCACATCTGCCATTAGTTTGCTCATCACCTGCTGTTTAAACAGCACTTACTGTTTAAGCCAGGCATTCCCTAGCTGGAAGAATTCCCAGGGCTTTGTGGAGACTTGGAGAGTTCTGTAAACAGGAAGCACCAATCTGATGGCAACTGCCAAAATCAGCTGTTCACCCCTCCAATACAAGTAATGCACATTTTGACTTCTGACAAAACATTCTAGCTCTGCTTTGTTAAAGGTTTGTTGGGGTTTTTTTGGCCTTGGTCCATTTAAATCCTGGCAGAAGTTTGACATGACCACAAAACAGGGCTTTTAGAAAGAGTAGCAAGGAAAGAATCCATGCCATCAGCAAGTAGGCTATTAGCCCGTTTTATCCTATTGTTCCACACCAGCCAAAAACCCTGCATCATACCATACATTCTGAGCTATCAACTAGCACATCAACATCCCTGAAAATTTATAGGAAAAAAACCCTATTCAGTATAAACCAAATGTTTTAAGTGTAATGCATTTTTACACTTGTTGCACTACATTAGCAAGACGTAACTTTGCATTCCATCTTCAGAATTGCCAAGATTGCCCAAAATTACACTACTGGTTACAATCTTAGTACAATGTCATGCATAAAGAGCAAGATGTGTCTGGATTTTCAGGTTTTCTCAATTAGCCTTCATTCATAGGAGAGCTGAGGACAAACTAGATTTTACATTTTCTAGTCAAGACATGGAATTCAAGCACTTCACGTACACAAAAAAGGTGTCTGTATCTTACTTTTTCTTTCTTCCCCCCGCCCCCCCCCCCCCCCCCATTTCAACACTGCCCCGAAGTACCACTGAGAAGGTAATATACATCCCTACTGTCAGATAATAAAAACCTGCAGTGATAAGTTTCTGAAAATACAAATGTGACCCATCACCAATTAAAACACAAAACTTTAAAAAGGAATTATAAAACACTTCTCTTGAAATTTGTATGTCATGACAAGCATTAATCTGATAATGTCTCTCCTTCTTTTCACTTTCCCCTGTTTTGTTGGTTTTAGTCTGATTTCCCCAATAAATTATCAAGTGCAGCCTTCCAATGCGAATTACAGTCAAATGTCATGTTGTCAGAAGCAGAGTTTAATATGGATTCAACATTATAAACAAAAATAAAAGAAATTGCAACACATTTCTTGCCAAGACCAAGGACAATGGTTCCTGGGTCCCAGAAAGGTATGCATATGTCCTTCTTTCAGTTCTAATTAAAATGCTATAAAAATGAACTTTGGCAACACAGTGTACAAGAAGTGTTATGTTGTCTTGTCCACACGAAATTTTGAAGGTCAAAATTGTCTGTGGATACTAAAGCTTCAAAAAATATTAAGGGCTACAAAGGTAATGCAAGTCAATACATATGCCAGAAGCCTCACTGGAATCTACGCTATCTTCAAAAGTTCACATACGTAGAGATATTTTAAATTTATACATTAATATTTTGGTTATGAGTTGAAGAAAGAAAATAATATCTATATTCCCAAAAATTTAAACAGATATCATTAAACAGGTCATGTGTAATCCTCTCAAATCACGGAAAAAAATTGGTTTTGCCCTACAATAGCTTTCAATGAAGTCTACTTCACTTTCTCAAGAAATTAATTTCATAATGTAAATAGCAAACCAGAATCTGTCTGCCCAAAGCATTTGATTAGAACATGCAGTGGTTTTGACGTCTATTATATTTAAAAGGGTTAACATGAATAATTTTTATTAATACTCCTAAACCACGAATTCTAAAGTATGCAATTGCACGCCAGAGGCAGTGATTCAGGCAGGAAATTCTTTCTTCACATCTCTCCAGGTATTCTATGACTCACATAACAACTCAGATATTTCCAAGGGTTTTCCTTTAGATTTCCTAAAATATTATTCTGCAGTTTGATTTAACATTCTTTAGATGTAACACAACACCAATTTTGAGGCCAACTGCAACATAAGGATTCAACAGAAAGCACAGAAATAAGCATCTGAATTTTATTTAATAAGGATAATGGGATTTTAAACAATGTCATGCAATGTTCAGGCAATTAGCACCATATACTTACCAATAAACTTGTTTTGCATAGTCTCTAGGAGAGCTTGGTGGGCATCTTCTGTTTGCAAAGCACATGAACATTCTCTGGCCAGTATGGTTCGGACAAGGTGCTCTCCACAACCTAAAGAAATATTAAGATTGGGAATAGTAAAAATATAGATATCGCTATGAAAAAACTCTTGTCATTATTTTACACCATCACAGCCAAATAAAATCAAGGGAAAAAAAAAAGCATATGACAGGTGTCTGTCATGTTTTTTTAAAGACAGTGACACTGAGTCACATGAAAATTCATGCATGTCAGCAGTTTTTCCCCACAACTTTCCTGAAATTTCTACTGTGCGAAGTCATAAACCAGAAAGGGTTAAGTACAGAAAGAAGAAATAGAAATAGTGAGAAGAAATAGCGAGACTGTCTCTGACTTGTCGTCTTTATCCAGATCCTTCAATTCTCTATCAAAGAATTCATTTACTAATCATTCTCACAGGAATGATCCTTGGATGCAACTCTCTTCAAACCAAGAACATCTTTAGTGAGCACCACAGTAACTTGGCATGATGTAATCTTCTATGTAGTCCATCTGATTGAGTTTTTTGTCAACAAAGGAATACGTGAATTTAGCTATGCTTTTTGGACTGGATGGCTGCTCATTGGACTCCTAATAAAAATTCCTGTAATTTTTAAAGGTTTGTCTTTAAGAAACTAAAAAGCTCCAGCCAACAACCACTTATTGCCTCAATGCTTTCTGTAACTATCCCCTGAAACCTGTTGAAGACAAACAGGTCATCAGTGCTACTCTTACTCCGTTAGGAACGCTTTCACACCTGCTGTTCTTCTCCCATGCTCTTTTCCATTCCTGTACTGTGTTTTGGGACATACAGCTGTGGTCAAACAGTACAGTGCATGTTTTCTTGGTCAAAGTTTTCTTGGATAGGGAAAAACATTGGTGATACCTTCTGCATACATACAAAAGTCATTACACTACTATGCCTCCCATTTGTTGACGTTTTTCCTCAATGGCAAGGAAGCAAATGAAACAGCTAGAAGGGGTTTCAGAAGAAACAGCCAAGCACCACTTAAGCTGAAATGTGTTATCCAGTTAGGAAAAAAGGAAAAACAAAACTGATTTATCAGATGTAATATGACAATGATTTTAATTACCTAAATTTAGGTGATTACAGTTTGATCAGACTTGTAACTTCAGAGTGTATCAGGGCCTAAAACTGCATTAGAAACCAGAATATATATAGAGAAATAAAATACAGTCAATTCCCAATTATATGTATAAATCTCTAGAAAATTTCTCATTAACCATGACAAGATGCAAGCACTGTGCTGGTTCCACACAAAAGTCAGCTATAATCCAGTTGGACTTATTAGCTCAGGTGCAGAACTACATAAATACACCTACGTGGCTTCCAGAGACAATTTATGGCTGGAAGCAATCTAGCTGCTTTGACACGGCAGAGAGCTGGAGCTGGTAAGACACCAGACCTAAGCTGGCTTCAGACAAAGGCAGCTCAGTCTCCATGGATAACATTCACTTTACTGGAAGCACTAACAAGCCCAGAACAGAGAAAACTGAGTGACTCTGGCTGAAGCCAGCTTAGATCTGGCACAAAGAACGAACTAACAAATAAACTCAAGCCAAATTGGCTCCAGTGCAGCCTGCTGAGTCTCTCCTCACTATGCTTCCCAGTATGCTGAGTTTAGAGCGCTGACTGGTTTGGGCACAACATTGCATGAACACACATTGGCAGGTCTAGTGCTGTCTTGGAGCTACTCACAGACCGGCTTCTTCTTCTTCCCACCACTTTTAAGCCCTAATTAACATGGCAACCTCCTCCAAGAATCTCTTTCTGGTTACTTGTCACACAATTATACCTTTCCCTTTAAAGGCAAAGTGAGTTTACAAACACTGTTCTTCAAAAACTGCTAACACAGAAGGAAAGAAAAAAAAAAAAAAAGACGACCCCTCACCCTCTACTTCCAAGACTAAAAAAAACCAACAAAAAACCCCTATGGAGCGTTATGGATGCATTAGATTTCAGAGAATAGCCCAGGGACCAGATTGCAGAAAAACTGTGTACACGTGTCCCAAAATCTTGCTATATTCAATCATCAAAACGACACCTTGGTCTTCAGCTATGTGCTCCTTCTAATGGGCAGTGTCTCCTGATGCGGGAGGTACTTTGGAAGTACCCCTTGAAGCGGGATACTTTGGCACTGAATCTACATACAATTGGCAAAACAGAAAGACAAAAAAAATTCTTTGTATAGCAAACAGATTGAGTAAAATCCAGTTATAAATTTAGAGGAAAATAAAAGAGCTGAAATACCACAACAATTACACAGCAAAGGGAGGCAGTTCTTGAGAGCACAAGAAAAAAAGGTGTTTTCACTGAGACTGTCAAGCTCTCAAGTTACTGAGCAAAGTGTCCAGGTTTGGATATTATCTTCAAGAGGCTCACACAACACAGTGTCCTCAACACCTGCTTACCAGGAGGATCTCTCCATTCCTTGCCTCATTACTTCCATGCTTGAAACCTTTTGTCCACCACAGAATTGAGAGTCATCTAATATTTACTCAAGACAAAGTAATGTATGAAGAACATGCAAAAACTGCAAGATGCGTTTTACCTACATATCACAACACAGCTATCACTTTTTTTAAACCACAAAAATTTAATCATTATAAAGCTTTGATGTAAAAAATAAAACTAAATAAGCATTTGCTCCAGCAAAAACTTAGCAAGTTGATTTTTTTCTTGAAAAGAACTTAATACCTTTAAATGTAACCTTTATACACCTCTGTGACGTAAGAAGCATGGGACACAGAATGTGAATCAAGTGAGACACAAAAAATCAGAGTGAGCCCATGCATCCCCTATGCATCAAGTAATAAAACCAGATGTTACTACTTCACAATTTAAGTAATTCCTAAATTGGCATCAAAAAGACAATAGCCATTTTTTAGCATGATGTATAATGTTATTTATCCCAAGAGAATGACTTTATTGAAGAGTTCCCATAACATCAAGTCTGCTACAAAAAAAGTTAAGAAAGAGAAAACTTAATATGGGTTAAGAACAGCTGCAGCTCACTGATGTGATCCAGGATCAGCCACAAGGAAAGCAGCCTTGCAATTCCACTAACACATCACACATCTCTACATCCCCAGAGACAAAGTCATTTCTTTTTGTCATATTTATGTCAACCTATAAGGCAGCAAACTTACAGACTGCTGCTGGCAGTGTACGTAAAAATCTTTCAACACATCACATGCCAGCAATCTGCAGGGACAGATAACTAAGGAAAATAATCCCCCCATTTTGAAAAGAAGAATTTGTTACTGCAGTTTTTGATGTAGGAACATCTATTTTTGAACAAGAAAAATAATAAAGCAGTGTTTCACATACTTTGACCAGATAAAGGCTGAGAAAAAGCATTACCCTAATTATTCCAATAGAACTGCCCTTCCTATTATCTCAAGTTAGAAACAAATACTAGAGTGTGAACTGTCTTGCAGGTTTAGCAGACCTATATGTCTCTCTAGTCTGGGAAAACACTGTAGATTATACTAGGGCTAGACACAAAACAAATGTATAGAGAATTACAGTAATCGAAACCTGATTTATAACTTACAATACAAAGTTGTGGGTTCAAATTTATAGTTCTATTCACTTGTAATCTAACCACCACTATTAGCCAACTTCTGCAAAAGTTACAGTTAACATGACTCAAGACAGCAACTACAGTCAAAGCTACTTTAACACACTTCAAAATCACGCACATAAGCTGATGAAAATGTAGATCTGGTTCATTTGCTTAACTATCTCACATCACACTACATTTAACTGCATGTGTTATTATACTTTGTGGTTTTTTCACTGAATAATACTAAAACCAAGCCAACAGGGACTCCTAATAAGAATTTTTCAATTCTTCATTAAAGTCTCAAATACACCTGTTTTAGTTACTTTCCTGTAAACAGAGTTTAAATTATCTTATTATCTTTTCCCAGGTAAGATGATGACTTCCTTGGTAACCTGAAGCTCATTATACCTCAGAGACAAAGGCTTTGCAATGACAGATCAAAACTTCCATAAGCCTTCACACAAGAATGACACAAATGGAGATGACTATCTAGAAAAATTTACTGGGTTAAATCAGTGCTTCTCACTGATATAACTGTTTCATATAGTAAAGAAATTATTTTCCTAACAGTAGTATTGTGCAAACACCATGCCACCTACTCATAACCCATCCACTGACAAAAATACTACTGTTGGAACTAGTTGTTGTCCATGTTTGCAGGAGTAAGTACAATTAGTCGCCCTCCTCTAGGATCTCTGCTAGCAAAGTGAGCAATGTTTCTACAGGAAACAGATATTCTGTTTTGATAAAGACAGATAAAGATTAGCATTTTGATGCAAGTTTCCAGCCTCCTGGGTTAAGGGAAATAAGTTTAAATAAAAAAAACCAGATTCCTAAAGGCTCCAGAGGCACATGGCAGCAACAGGCTCCTACGACGAGGTAAGGCAAAGAATGATAAAGCTCAACAGTCATGACATGTTTTGTATTCAAAACAATAGGTTTGGCGAGAACCATAATCCAACGTCACCCTCCCCACCCCTGCAAACCAAAGAACCAAAGTCCACCAAAAAAACCCCAAACCCAAGCCAAACCAAAATCTGTCTTCCACCAGAAGTTTCTCGCCCTGTCTGAAACTCACTTGGCGATCATACAGAAAACCCCTGGAGATCATACAGAAAACATCAGAACTCTTTCTCAAAGACACAGATCATCTTGGATCATGCCATAGTACAGTTTCTAATGCAGTGTTTCCTTCAAAGTACAAAGCTGACCACCAGTGAAATCTTACTTTCCTCCTCTTCTGTGGGTATTTAAGTGTGTAATTTCTGAGAATAATACCACTTTTCCTATTCAGACACTCCTCGTTGATTCATACAAGACCTCCACAAGAACAGTCTGGGAATCTATAACCTTTTTTTTCCTCCCCCCTCATAGTCTCTTTTTCTTCTTTTATTCTTTTATAACTTAACAGTTATATATGTGTCAGTAGTCCTCTCAAGTTACTATTTCAGCCCAAAATTGCAT